TATATATATATATATATATATATATAGATCAGCGAATCTCCTTAATAAGTAGAGAAACTCAAATTGTCCCCAGTGCAGTGAATTTTGCAACAATTATGAGGATTATTTCATTTGTTTCAGGAACAGTCTGATGAGCTGAACGCAATCTCTTGCTTCCCATTCATTAAACGAGATGGCTTATACTCAGCTACACCTGGGAGCTGCCAATCCTGCACACAGTCAAACTCTTTCCTGTGAAGTGCCTCCTGGAAAAATATTAGTAAATCCCCAGCTGATTCAGTTTATACACACAGTACCATTCAGGCATCCAGGACTACATTCATAAGTTTTGTTTGTTTGTTTGTTTGTTTTCTTCAATTTTGGCACAGGCTGTTAACATGCAAATCATTATATTCATAGTTTTGTCAGCTCATGTTTATGCTTTCCTTACCACTTTAGATTCCTCCTCCCTGTACACCAGTTTCTTTCAGATCATCTTGTTTCTTACCTCTGGTTTGTCTCCTGTTCACTTTTTGTGCGCTCTTCTGAATGTATCTCTGATTTTTTTTATGTTGTTCATGCTGAAGGGCCAAATGCATTTTTATCAGGTTATCATAAAATAATCTGTACACGATATTTAGGCTTGACTGTGTCTCCAAATGTGTGGTGACTCTTCGTATTGGTGTTGAATGTTGTAGTTGTTGTTTTATTTTCTTTTTTCCTGTAAGTGTTCAGAACCATATAAATCACTGCATTTGCTGATGATTCTTAATCACTCAACAAATCAGCAAAAAACATATACTGTTATCATTTTAATGGTGAAAAAGTGTTGACAGAAAGTTGTTAGACACACATTTCTACTGGTGATTTCTTAAAAGAACTCCACCTAAGGGAAATTTCTTTTAAGGACAGAAACCTCAAAACAAGTAAATAATCTAAAATAACTGACTTTGTTGAAAAATGAGAGTTTGGGGAGGGCGGGGATAAGAAAAATAAGTAAAATGTCTTGACGGCAAATGATAAGACCGTGAATATCTGTAATACATGTCTTCACAAGTTCTTTTCTGAAAAAGACTGGGATAAATTTGAACATAATAACCTATGTTCCCTGACACTCTATGCCTTTAAAATGTCCATTGTTCAGTTGTCAGAGTAAAACGAGTCTAAAAAGAGCTGCCTGTACTGCTCGAATAAAAATGAAGCTGCAATTGAACAACGGGTATCAATTAAATATAGTAGCCTGATAACCAGATAAGAGGTTACAAGTAGGTTAATATTCACTGTTGAGTATGATAGAGGCTTTGTTTTTGTACCATAAACTGACATATGTCCATTATTTAAACTTGACAAGGGGAAAGTGTTGGAGTTTCTAAGATGGTAGGTGACCTGGAAGTAAAAAGTAACAGAAGGCATTCCCGCCCACTGGCTCCACAGGCACCAGGCTGCCCCTACTCTCACTTTCAGCTGTAACCTCCCATTAGACACACACACATAGTGGCGTTGCACAGTATAAGGAACGCCTGGAACATGAATACGGCTGTAATGATATGACCTGAGAGAAGCAAACAAAGTAAGCATGCAAACTAAAAATATATAAATACATGGCAATATACAAAAACAAGAGTGGTATTTTCCCTCCATATTTGGTTCAGTTTCACTAGTCACTCCAAGGCCTGGTTACAACTCAACCAGTAGAACCAAGAAATGTCTGCTTTCTGAGGCTTTGGGCCTTCAGTGAAGTACAGCGAGCACTGTCATGCACAAACAGAGAAAACACAGATCAGTGGTGAACCTTCTTTGGAGAGGCCTTGTCAAGGCTGGGCTGAAATCCACTTGAGATGATATAACATGACAATATTCCTCCACAGGGCTGCGAAGGCTCATTGTAAGTTATGAGAAACGTTTCGCAGCAATTGTTGCCGCCGAGAGTTGCGTAGCTGCTGTGTTTGGAGAGCAATCGTTTGTTCACATTAGCATGGATAGACTTTACCCTTAATAAACAGAATCATAATTTGAAAACGTCATTTTGCTCTGGTTGTCTTTAAATATCTCAAATTGCTTCATGGTCTTAAACCTTCAATAGTTAAAAAGTGGAAAACAAGAAGGGGAAATTACTTTTTCACTGCACTGTATAGCTATTATAGCCTGTAATGTTATGGGGCCTAAGTAGTCCTTTGCAATTACAATATAAGATTCAATGACACTGAATATTTTTTTAATATTTTGTGCACCCCTAATAATAAGAGCAAATCTTTAATCAACGGTGCAGTGGCTGTGCTTTCAGAGACGTTTGTGCTCTGTGAAAAAGAGTTTGTGAGAAGGCAACCAAATTTAGAAGTACTTCCAGTAAGGTGTGCTGTAGCTTCAAAGAAGAAAGATTTAAACCAAACAAGCTACAGAGTGGTACGTCATCCCTTCTGCAAGGAAAGTCCTGCTGGCTCCTCTCCTAGATAACACGTGGTGCCTGACTTTCTCTGCTCTGTGAAGGTGTGCAAGGATGGATAAAAGACGATTCTCTCATAAAAAGGCATTTATTTATGTATTTATTTTTTCTAAAATTATCTTCTGTGTGCAGCTTTCTGTGTTTCAGTATCTGCAGCATCGACCGGCGACTGCAAGGGAATCTTTCCCTCACACAAAATATTGACAAACTTATTTGTGCGAGTCAGATTTAAGCACACAATCCACCCAGGTCAATGTGTTTTGTCTCACATGTGTGAAAGCTGCGGTCCCTGCAGCCAGAAAATGACTGACAAAGCAATCCCTGCCGGGGTGGTGGGGGGATGGGAGGGGGGGAGATGCAAAGTCCTGGATTTCATTGCTTCATAAAATGCATGAGGTTTCTGAACACCTCCCTGGGTCATTTATCGTTTCCTCTGCGTTCCCTAATGGTTTTCCTTGCTGTGCGGGAGAATCATTTATAAAAGCAGCCTTGACAGTCTCTCCAGGGTACAGGATACAGCAGCGAGTGTGCCGCTATCTCCTGATTTGGATGCAGAGGCATGAGCGGAAACGTGAGATCAGCATTTCGTCCTCATTTGTTACTCGTATTCTCTTGTGGGAAAAGCAGTTTAACATGGACCCTCTGGTGGGGTCACTGTCTTTAGAGTGCGAAGTGCAAATTGAAGATTGTAAGTGAATGGACGTAAATTCTTTTTTTTTTTGTATTCTGTTAGGACGCACTTTGTAATATCCAATAGCAGTTTTCCTGCTACGTGGACGGGAAATTGAAGAGATTGCTTTATGATAAGGTAATTTCTTCCATTTTAAGTCTAATCTTGCACTTAAGTAACCATGGTTACTGTATAGTTTCTAAGCTGCCACCAGCCGAAATGACTGAAGACAGTAATGGCCATTGAAAAAAAACGAGAATAGTTTTCCGGCATGCACGCCTGGTGCACACAGTATGTTGTGCATAATGCAAATGTCTTCCAATCAGCTCAAATTTGGTGGAGGTCTTGTCTTGCCATGTGAAAAGCATCCTGTCATTTCAACATTGTGTCTCCCTCCCTGTGTTCTTCTCCCACAAGATGCATGCGATTCACAGGAGTTAAAAATAGATATGCCCCCCCTCACACACTCCCCACCCCCAGTGCAGCTCAGGCCTAACTTTATTTTCGCAGGGGAAATGAAAAGCACATATACTGATCGGGCTGCAGGGACAGAAGGAAAAACAATAACCAATGACAAGAGCCAATGACAAGCCAGTTTCGGTGCACAAACAAAGAAGGGGATTTGGAAGCCTGAATACAAAGAAAAGCTATTTATCATGTTTAAACTAATCTTGCTTTTACTTTTTAGAAGTATAAAATCCAAGTTTTTTTTTTTTTAATTGTGTCTCTTTAAATTGTTTTTCTATAGCTGGTAATTAAAAAATACAGCCATGGTAAAAAAACAAACAAACAAACAAACAAAAAAAACAGTACACCCTCCTTCAGTTTTATGGTTTTATATGTCAGAATATTTATATATTATATATTCAGCCATTTAGAACATGCATCCTAATGAGTCTCATTTGTCTGTACACCTTTTGAAAATAACATTTCATTAAGCCTACATTTGTATTTGGGTTTTTTTTAAGGTATTTTATTGGTCTGATATAATATTTAAGTTTTATATCATTTTTTTTATTAGCTGTAAGTGGAAAATGAACCTCATAAACAGAACATCCACCTATGTGTAATTAATCTAAATAATGTTTTTTTTTTAAGTTGTTGAAATAAACAAGCTTTTCAATAATAGTCCTATCTATTGAATGCGCTAGTAACGAAATGATTGTTGATTGTTGAAATGATGGTTTGCTGTTTGAGTTTCTACATTTTGTTTTGTTTTGTAGAGGAAACCTTTGGAGTACAAATCTCTCAACAGATTCAACACATTAATTATTGAACAAAAATGAGCCCAAAAGGTAAAAGCTGTGTGAGAAAAACTAAGTCCTCTGTTGCTAATCCTATACAACTTAATAAGATAAGCAGCAGGTAGGCACTGCTAGTTAATTATGCCAGATTAACTGAACATCACGAAATGTTACCACCTCTTTAAAAGCAAACATTTGGTCAATTTGCTGCTCCGTAGCATACAGGTGTAAGCTAACACAATGCCAAAAGTCAGAAAGACGTCAGCAATGACGTAAAGCGATGCAACTGCCCTTTGATTTAGAAAACATTTTAAAAATCTGAAGTCCACATATTATTCGCCAGGTTTGAAGGTCCAGCACATCGTCTCAAAGTACAAACCTCAGAGAAATTGAAAAACTTAATCTCAGATTCAACAAGCCTCAGTTAACATGTCTAATGTTACAGTCAATGTTTGGCAAAAAAAAACAACAAAAAAACACAACAAGTAGGGCCTGTTTGGAAGAGTTACTGAGAGAAGTACAGTCTATGCTAACTGTCAAAGCATGGTGGTGGAGGGGTGATGGAAACTAAAGTGGATCAAAACTCTATAAAAGTGTGAGAAAATAAGGCCTCAGCAACTCTAGGTACTTTGTAACTCCTAGCTATTTTTTTAAAAGAACATAAGTGGTTTGTGGGTGTCCAGTCTGAAAAGACTTTCATATCTTTGCTGACCAGTTGATGGCGATAGCTTTAACGTGAACTACATGAATATGCAAAAGAAAATAATCTTGCTGGGTTGCAAATAACTGTAGGCTGTGCTTTGTTTTAGTCAGTCTTTCCACTCAGTTATTAACTTCACTTAAATTTGAAGTTTGTGGAAAATGAACCAGTGCAAGAATCACATTTTTGCTAAATATTGTTCTAAGTATTTACAGAAACTGAAAAAGTAAGAGCAGATGACTTCCTGGTTCTACAACCAATTGAAATTTGGGGTGTAAATGGTTTTGCACAACAGCTTTTCCATTTTGCCTTCATTGTTGTTGAATATTTAATGAGGGTGGTTTCCACAATCCAAATTTGATATAATTTTTTGAGAAACATATGTGTTCACACATTAGCCTTAGAATAGAAAGAGGGTATTCTTTCTTTTAATGGAGACTATATGTGGTCCTCTCACTGGAAAGATAATTCAGTTTTGACACAGTCACATGGACATGGACTCTTCTCTTGAATAATTCATTGTCCCGATCTTACCTTCTGCATATAGCAATATAATAATAATACTTTCTGTTTCTTATAAGGCCGAAAGCAATCTTCACCTCTCATCTGTGCAAACTGAGAGTGAGGCGGGCAGATGATGGGATAGAAGAAGAGCCTTAAGGATAAATAGAGTAAATGAGCAAGAAGGCGACGTTGCGAGGAGATGGAGACGGATGCGAGCATGACACGGGCTGAAGTCAGAGTGTGACAGACATGCGGAGGAGGAGGAGAAGGAGGAGGCAGAGGAGGAAGAAGACGAAGGTGGGGGAAGAGATGCTGGATGAGTCAAAACCCCTGAGCTCCGATGAACTCTCCGTGAAAGACACAGTGCTGAAAAGATGGCTGGCATGTGCCCTCTCTGCCAAGACATGCCTAAGACAATGACATAATTATCATCAAACAAGCAAGGACACACTGCGAGAGCCCCCGACTCACGCTTGGCTCTTTTTTGTTTGGTTTTTTTATTCACTCACTTATTCATCATTTCTCTTCCACTCTCAGTATTACTTTGGGCTGACATCAAAGCCAAATGCGTATAGTTAGAGATCCTGCAAAACGATATAGCATTTCTACAATCCCACTGTCAGTTAATACAAACAGTAATAATAAATAGATTTTACATACAGTGCAGTCATAAAACTCTCCCTAAACTTAAAAAAAAAGTACTATTACTTTGACATTGATATTGCACACATGTATACGGGAACACTTTGGTGAGTAGCGCTGCTGCAAAATGGGGTCACAGAATGCGGTTTAACAGGCTACAGTAACAGAGAGGCATTAACTCCGTCGTAACATGTGCGTACTGCGTGGGTTTTGATTCTGCTGAGCCACAATGTCACTGCTGACGCTCCTTTTCCGCAAGTCTCCTCGCTTTGTTCTGGAGGTAACGTGACTTGCCCTCTTCAAAACGTTTCTGCTCATCGTCTCCTTCAATCTGAGGACAAAAGCACAAGGACAAAAGACTTGCTTTAAGACGCGCATTCGTCACTTTCACATTAGTCTGCACAGGAATGCTTCCTCCGCTGTAACATTATGCAAAGGCGCGAAAGCTCTGATCTAATTTGCCACCCTGCGCTTGGCAATCACCATTCATCATCTCGGTGAAGTGGTCTTTCTGCATCGGACGCGGAAAGTTTGCAGAGGACATTTGCCATCAACACATCTGAAAAGTGTTTAAAGGCGAATCTATAAGGTTCTAGGCTCTAGTGTCGTATTAAACAGCAATACAGTTGGAAAACAGTGCAATTTGGATAAGCTGACAGATCAAATGTAAATAAGAAATGACTATTTTAAGATTACCACTATCTTCTTACAAAGCCCTCAGATCCTGTCTCTTGACCTGTCCAACAACTTTAAACACACGGAGCTTCATTGTCTGTAATGAAACTAAATCCACTATATAAATGTTTTAAAGAAAGTGAGACATGCTTTTCAAAATTTCACACAGATTTCACTAAAACCTTTCAGTAAAGACATTTTGTTTTACTCTGCCCCCCTGGCATGAATCTTTGGTGGAATCAACTGGATGCTCTAGCCTTGACATATCGAGTAGCTTTACACGCCGAAGGAGGAAAAGAAGACCTTCTTCCACATGTTTCCTGTATCCCTTCACGTGACTTAAAACAAACTGCAAACAGAACTTTTATGCTAAGATCAATTTCTTCGTGAGGACACAATCAGATTGCAAACGCTAAAGCAGATACCAGTCTGATGGGTGAGGCGCAAACCTGGCAGACTGGTAACAACTGTGCCATGAAATCCTAGCAGGTTCAAGTCACTGGGGATCATGACTCCAATGTGACGAGAAAACAAACACCAGCGTGAACGTATCGTCGAAGAACAGGTTGAGGAGAATGCAGCTGCAGTTCTTGGTTTGTTTGCCGTCTACCAGTTATATAACCATCAACATATTGCTCAGCCAGTTATGCTTTGTTGCCATTCAGCTGAAAGTAATGCATAATTCCAGTTCGTTGGGTTTCCAAAAGGGGGGAAGACCGAGTTTCAACACAGTTCAGCATTTTAAGCAAATGTACACTATTGGACACGCAGCCCATTCATTCTGTTTGTAACTAAGTTTGTCAACCAAACCTGAAGTGTGTTCATAAATTCAGCGAGTTTATCACTTCTTGCGATGACAAAAAAAAAATTATATTGTGCAAACAGGAAAAGAAACTAGTTATGTATGTAATGATAGAGAGATGCTTCACCTTGTAGGCTGAGGTTAAAAAGAGGAAGGCAAGCAGAGTTTCACTATTGACCGCCCGGAGGAACAAACTGTTTCACAATCTGTTAGTATGTTTTTAATATGCCTTCATTCTTCTACCAGATGGCAGATGATGGCGTGAATTACGTCCCGACTTGGTCTTGAGATGTAAGAGGCTGTTCTGTGGAGAAAGTCACTGTGGAAAGTTGCTGAAAAGAGGGAGTTGTGTGCCACCGATGTGCTCTGCTGCCTCTACTACTCTCGGCAGGTCTTTCTTGTGTAGACCAGCGCAGCTTTTGAATCACACTGTGCAGCAGTAGGTCAGGAGGCTCTCTATTGTTGACCGAGAGAAAGTGGTCAGAAAATCCTGACGGTGCTTCTGCAGAGAAACGCGGTCTCTGTGCAGCGTTCCCCCACCTGATGGGAGATTTGTGTGGTCAAGCTGAGGTCAGTTGAGATGTGTAATCAGAGACCTTTAAAGCTCTCAACCATCATCGCTCTGTGTGCCAAGTTCTCAGCATGTTGTTATTTTCTGGAATCTGTTATTATCTATGTGGTTTTAGAGATGTTTCCGTTCAGGTTAATACAAGAAAACCACTCTGTCAGTGGTAAAAACCTCCTTCCAACAGACTGTCATCACTTTCCATTAGCCAAAAAGTTGGTGGTAATCAGGAAAAACTGAATGATTGTGTTTATATAATGGAGAGAGGTCATGGGTGTAAAGGCATAGAGAAAAAAAATCTTGGTTTGCTATCTGACCAAAAACACGAGAAGTCTTGTCTGATTTAACTTTAGGCAGTGAGGAAAAAATGTTCACGTCTTCATATCTGTTGTCTGTAAATATGTGGTTTCAACTGTAGGTGTGGTCCTGTTCAAACCATGTGTGGACAGCCAATCACTGCCTCAGCTGTTTACTTGGTATGCAGACTAATGCTGGTCAAATTAACAGGGAAATGGAACAGAAATGGAAAAAAAGGAGTCTAAAAACACTTGGCGATGATGAGGAATAGTGCAAATGGCTGATAGTCATTAAGGCACTTGACTGTGCTTATTTTGGGTTCTGGGATAATTGTTGGTGACACGACACGGCGGGAGTGAGAGATTGGAGAAAGTTGTACATAGATGAGAGCTGAAATAGACAACAGATAAAACCTACAGACTCCCAGTAAAGCCGCTGATCTTACATGACAAATGGTATCAGACCTCATCAGAGACTTAGTGTTATCTTTGCCTAGAATCATTTGACAACCAGGAGCTTCAGCGATAACAAATAGTATTATTGTTAAAGCAGCCTTGATTACTTTGTGTAAAATAAACTGTTCTTCTAAATGGTGAGGGTGAATATTTTTTAACCGATCTTTACAATGATCAGTCTGTCACAACTGAGCTTTACACAAAGATTATAACGAGACAAAACTAAAGGAACATTGAACAAGTTTCACAGCAACTGCATAAAAACAGCAAAGAAAAACAACATCAGTACCAACATCTGTGTTTTTAACATGATCCGATCAAGTTGCCATGGCGACTGCACACCAGTGGACTGATTAGCCCTTTTATCACTGCTTGTTGCCTTGTTTAATGTGTGTGTTTTGTTTTGTTTTTTTCTTTTTAAGGTGAAGCTGCCATCCGGAGTGTTGGTCACCTAATCTGGTCCTCATCAGAGCTTCAATTGTAGCTTTGGAGCAAAGATGGTCAAATGCACGGTTTACATTTAATATAGTTTACTTCACCCTTTATAAGCACACACTGTATTTTTGAATCATTTTTGAAAGGGGTGTTTTATAATTTATTAATGTATTCCTTTTTGGCATGTTCCTTCTTTACTGAATCAGATGAAGAGATGGCATTCATTGCCACTGATCTGCTTTGAGTTTTGTCCATAAAACGGCTTGCTCTTTATTAACAAGTGCATGCAATCCATTCGAGAGGAGAATCGGGGTAGGGAGGAAAAGTTTGATTTTCTAATCATAGACCCGCTGTGATTATTTTGTGCAAATTGTTCCTGTAATAATTAAATGCTCCACTGGGAGCTGCAGAACAGCTGAAAGTGGCTCGCTGTGGCAGTCAGCCCCACCATGTCGCAACCCGCACCACAGAACAGTTCACACCAGTGAAGCTACACCGCCTTGCAGCCTGAGAGAAAAAAGTTATCCAGTTAAGCGTTTTCATCCTTTCTGTATGCCACAACTGTATGCACTGCCGCAGCATCGCCGTGTTAGCAGAAACAGTTGCTGTCTCAAGGTAAGTTATGAATAAAATAAAAAAAAATTACACATTCAAAAGCATAAAATTCTTCCATTCATTTTTTTTCATTCACTCACTTTTTGATTATTTTTACAAAACACCATAGAAAATACCAGAGGGAACGCAGTCGCTCTGTACCAGTCAAACACTACTGTCGCACTCGCGCCCCTTTGTAATATTTTTACAAAAGACGTCCAAATTTTTCTAAATTTCTCTAGCTTAAAAGACACATATTTAATCAATTGTCATGAGAACAGGTAGGCACTCTGAACTTTGTTCTCAAAAATAATCAATATATGTCACATGAATTTAAGGTATTGTTTTAGCATTAGCAATGTTATGATTTTATGTTTCAAATAAACCAATTGGATGATCTTAAAGAAGAATCCATCAGGGTTTGGGAATCAAGAGACTGACAAATAATTGATTTCTTGCTCTGTCTTCATCATATTCTCCTTTTTTTGTTGTTTGGAGTTTTGTTCCTCAGTAAGTCTCTGAAAGGCTTCAGAATTTGGGCCCAAATCTGTCTGCAGGGTGTTTACTGGGCTGATCACCTTGAACCACGGAGCCTACTGCTGAAGCTCACAGCTTACCGTTGATTCTCGCCACCGAGTGCCGAGTCTTACCGCTTCATGTGACGTCATTGGCCCAAATACACACATTAACACTTGAAGAGCTTTCCAAGTGCTCCTTTTTGAAGCCCCGTTTGTGTGTGTGTGTGTGTGAAATCCAGCTGTGGAAATTCACAATTCATTAACCACCTGTGGATCTACTACCTTTGTACCGTTACTGAAAGGAAACACATCTCTAGCTGCATTCCTTACCAAAACACTGCTTTTGAATAATATGAGAAATGTTTGACAGTAAACAAACCGACTGAAAGGGTTGCATGGTGGAATTATTGCCTTGCAGCAACAAAGTCATGGGTTCAAATCCCAGCCTGGGTTTTTTTTTTTCTGCATTGGGTTCGCATGTTCTCCCCATGCATGGTTCTTATCCTCCTCTCTACAACAAACAGTGTCCTACTTAAAGATGTAACACACTTTGGGTGTCTGCACTAAAACTGTGTATCATCACAAAACGGTTTGCTTATGAAAATAGCGGCCAAATTTTAAACACTTTAGACTGGATTTTCTTTAGATCTGTCATGAATATTTAAGCATCTTTGCAAATTCATGAATAAGGTATGTTGAAAACCTTATATGCATAATTAATCATCCACTCCAGACTCATGAGCTTTGCTTCAGTGAGAACAAACAGCTCCGTGGTCTATGTGCCGTGCTTTGGATTACTGGAGTTTCTGGTGCGAGTGCACCCGTTAACCCACGTGTGGCCGTTTTCAATGGTGGGCATCTAGAAGTAAATGTGCATCGTTTCATGTGGACCACAGAAGGTTGCCATGAGAACTGGGCTTGTTTTTGTGTCAGAGGAGGCTAGCTGAATCTCTGCCAATGAAGAACGAGGAAGATGGGAAGGAAGGATGA